CCGGTTGGCTCTAATTGGTGCGATTTATTCACAAATCGCACCATTTTTTGCTCTAAATTGCATCATTTTACGCTTGACTGAGTTTTTGACACATGACATCAAAGCCTTTCTGTTTTGCATACAAAATAAGATGTAAAAGCGTTTGCGGTTCCGCTTTTAATTTAAAAACTGGCTCAGTTCTGCATCAGTAAAAGATTTGAATTGACCAAGTCCTGTATTTGGGCGATTTAAAAAAGGATGTAATAAAGTGGTAATTGAACCTCGTGTCGTGCAATTTTGGTTTGAAATCATACTTGAGATTTCAAATCGAAATCGCGCTGCGCACTCGTTCGATTTTGAAATCACGTGTATTATTTCAGCCCAAATTGCACTCCACTCAGTTCAGTTACCATTATTAATTGGTCAAATTTATACTTGAAAATGTTAAGAGCAGAGGTGAGAACACTCTGATAAGACCTTTTGAAAGTTTGTTAGAGCTGAGATCAGATTTAAAACTAAAACCAATCCTAGCTTGGATGCACTTCAGTTTGCCCTAAAGAAGTTTTTAAGAAAAAGGTTATCCTTGCACAGAACAACTACAAGTTGCTGTTTTAAACAAGTGTGATCATGGCCGAATTATTCAGTGCTGCTTTGTGGAGTTGTTAACTTTGATAAGTTTGATAAGATTCTTTATTTCCTTCAGATGTTATTGATTTTGTCAGTAAAACCGACATTGCACGGACGGTGAATCTTGGAGATCCTTTTTCTTTTGATTGCCCACCTCATGGTGACAAGTATGGTGCCTCTTATACTTGGGGAAATAAGGAAAACATCGAGCTTAACAGAGATGAACATATAGCCATTACCCCAGTTGGTACCCTGCACATAATGTGCGTTACCCAAGCTGATGTGGACAAAATCTCAGGATTGAAAGGAATTGCTTGTACCATTGTTGCAGCAAATACCATCTACCAATCCGGCATTCGAAATGTGAATGAAGGAAGTCCAGGTGAAAATAGTTTTTAAAATATTTTATATCTTTCTAATTCTATTTATGTTCACAGTGCTTTACTGGCACGTAGAAAATCTGTCCTAGCTTACCACGGAGCTGGCAAGGTCTCGGTGGAAGAGTAGACGTGTTTTTAAACTAGTCTGTTTACAGGTGTGGAAGCCCTAGACGAGCGTCTACGACTAAATCTGAGGTGTCCCCTTATCTTTGCAAGCTCTCATGTACATGGTACATGGCAAAATGAAAAACATCTTCAGTTGTTTGTGTTAACACGGAATTATTTGTAATGATCATAGATTAAAAAAAAATAGATTATGAATTGACATGTACGTGTACATGTATGACAAGAACAAGGTGTTCTGTGTACATGTATGTTCAGTTTAATAGAAACACATGTATCACAGTAGTTTTACACACCTTAGTTACCACCCATAGGACATTCGTAGCTTTGGTAAGTGACTCAAAGAANCGTGGAAGCTTTGGGTTGCAGGGGTTGAAGAAGTTGAAGCTGTAGGCGGAGTCGGAACCGTTGGTGTTTCTGGAGATAGCGCGAAGATGTCCATATCTTCGTTTAGACTGGCCAAGGCAACAGAATCTATAGTTTGAAGATCATCCTGTATAAAATGACCCTCAGAGTTGATCAGTGTTGCGCGTAGAAAGTGAGGCCCACGAACTGATCCAAAATCGTGCAATATTATCCAAGCTCAAAATCGTGCAATATTATCCAAGCTTTCAGAATCTTTCGATCCAAGAGGAATACAATTGTAATTCGAAATCAGAAAAACGCAAATTAAGTCTTAATCTCGCAGCAAAATTCAAGAAAACATGATTGGAAACTTACCTCTGTGGCGGGTCGTGAAAACAGATTTGTCTCCTCTGGCTAGCAGATTCGGGCAAGCGAACAGATTATAAAAAAAACCGATTTCTCTCTTTACTGATTCTTCTCAAGAACTGGTTTAAAGCATTATAAGCTAACACTTTAAAATCATTGTACGGAATTAATGTCATCACGAGTCGTGTAATTAAAATATATCTGTCATCATCATCGGCAACTAAACGAAACAATCAGAACTCATCGTGGCCAGATGAACAGTGAAGGCGGCCGACAAGTGAGTGTCAACGTGAACTCAGGGGTGGAACATCCGGATGAGACGCAGAATCAGGGTCATTTCCACAACACTATCAGGACGATGTTACTTTTTTTTTTTTTCAATAACTCCTCTACAAGGTTTAGAATAAAATTCTAACCAGCTCACAGGCACTCTACCCTTAAAGAGGGTGTGAAAAGTGCATCTTAACTTTACACCCACGTCTAAAGTCTGTGGCTACCAGTATGTGATCAACTGATTTCACGGCTAGGTAACCTAAACCAGTTGCCATGTACATAAAAGAGGTGGGTTGTTACTCCACCCTCATGACAATGAAATAAAGTTGCATTAGAAAAATAATCTGTTATTCGATCCAGTGTCAATGAGGGTAGCTCTGATGGGACTGCCTGCATGAGCTCCTTACAGACCTCATTGATAATGCGCTCAAGGTAGAAATCTGTCCTCTTCCAAGAACATCGTTCTTTAATACGAACACCAATCCGGCAAACCGTTGAAGCGAAGGTCTTTGCCTTCACTGGTCGCAACACAAATAGAAAAAAGAGCTAAAAAGCCAAATGTCTGTCTTTTCCCGCCAAGAATAAGTACGAAACGTTCCTTAAGTTTATTTTGTAAGTCTCGTGAGTTATGTTCTCTAGGTGCAA